TTTTTTTTCTGTACGCTTAAATCATCATCCCAAGCAATTGATTTTTTCGACTCTCTTCTTCTCTCTCTAACAACTTTTGTTACGTTTTCCGCTGGTATGGGAGTAACAAAGTATCTCGTGATCCAATAATTTGTGTCAATTATTTCTTCGATGAAACTTTTATCACGCATGTTAAACATTTGTTTTTGAGATGTTTCGTAATTAATCATGTAAGCAACGACTTTCATAATTGAATTTGATAAAACGCTATGAGATATATTATAAATCGTACGAAGTATGTTTAAATGTGTCGCAGTGTCGTACTTAACGTCCTACCCCACGGGGGGGGGGGGAAGAGAGGGAAAACAAAATAATTATTCCATCGGAAAAAATATTTTTTATTTTTATTTTTGTAATACTCACATCTACTATTTCCCAATGACCGTTTTTTATTGAAACTGGAAATGAAAAACCACATTCGGGTGGTACTCCATATTTTATTTCTGACGGTGATATAACACCCATCGAAACATATTCTGTTTTACCGTGGGATTCGTCTAATAAACATTGTAAATGTTCGATAACAGCAAGGGCTACCGCTTTACCAAATTTAATCAATTCCGATTTCATTGTTCTCTGATAAATGGCCTAATAAATGATTTTAAATAAATTTTACGTGAGATGTATTTATTATTTTTATATAAATTTGTTTCCGTTTTTACCATTGGAAATGTTGTAAAAAGCCATATGTCATCTTGAATGGCGTCTCGTATGGGTATTTCTTTCATTTCCCATTTACCAATATCGTTGGGTGGATACATATTAACAGTAGCATTACATATATCCGGAAAAGTATTTGCCCAAATTATAACGTTTTTTATTTTATCAGTTGTCGTTTTTAATTTTGCTGCGAGCATACTTTTGCTAATTCTACACACAAAAAAAAAATTAAGGTTTTTTTTTTTAAATTCAGATTTCCCTTGAGTGAAAGGGTTTAAATTAAATCTGTTCTTTTTATAAAAGAATAGAAGAAAAAAAAAAAAAAAAAAAAGGAAAAAAATTAATTTGACAACAATTTACATCACGTCTAACATGGTGACACAGGTTACATTTTGAGATGGAATATTTGGAGCAAATTTTTTAAATGCTCCGAGTAATGTTGTGACAGCTTTGGTCGAAGGTCCGGCAAAAATAACTTTGACATTTTTACTTGCATAGTCTTGAATGTGAATGGCCTTAAATAAATAAATAAAAAACATTTTAAATTGAAATTTTTTTTTTTTTTTGGGATTTGGTAAATGTTTTATTCTTTTCATTCGATATTCGATATTACCAAATGTCGAGCTTTCATCAGTTGATATATCAAAGCATTTGCTATTGATCGCCCTGGTATTTCTTCGTATGTGGCAATTGCAATAACAATATCTACATTTTTATAAGCTATTTCCGGATTGCTACTCAAAACAAAATCTATAAATTGAAATATATACCAATTTTTAAACCTGTTTGTTATTAATATTTTTCCTTTTTTGTACAATTGTGGTTGTTCTTGTAGGTATAAGAAATGTACCTTTGGAAGCGGCAAAACCGCAGGTTTCCAATTCCAAAATAATTGCCTTATGATGCATAGACCCACGAGAATTGATTAAATGAATTATTATGGGTTGATCTTTTCCAAAAACTTTTCCACTGCATATTTCGTAAATAATATTAAAAGCTATTCTACATCCGGCATCCGTTACTAATATTCTAAGCGGACGTTTTTCTTTTTTTAAAAACTTTTTAGGTACGTATAATTCTCTATCTAATGGCAAATCGAAAAATGTTTCCTCCATTTAAATTAACGATTTTTTTTTTTTTCTTGTAACCGATGAAATTAATTTATCGAAAAAAAATGATTATAAATGATAAATTTGTTTATTTACAAATTAACAAATTAAGGTTAATTAACTATATTGTGGAAAAATTAGAAAGAAAAAAAAAAACATTTTTTTTGAACTGTTTAATGTTAAATATTTATTTTACGGTTTACAACATTAAAATTGCTTTATTTTCAATTTTTCAACCATTTATAAAACTTTTTACTTTTTTTTCTCATCGTTGATTAGGTAAAACTTATGTAAACATATTAACGTTATTCAAATAGATTTTAGTTTAATAAATATTTATGTATGTTTCTTTGTTAACTTAATAAAAAAAATAAAGTTTAGTTAGGATTTTAAGTTAAATTGCTTTAAAATGGTAGGTTAAATTTAAATTTAAATTAATATAATGAAAGTAATAATACAATTTATGTAGAAATAAAAATGGCGCCTAATTTGAACTCGCATAAAATTTTATGAGTTTTATGTTGGCAACACTTATTTTGATAAACTGAAAGTTTAACTTTTTATTGCATTACATTAACTTGGTTCTTTTTTCATTAGTTTTGAATTACTTTTTGATATTTTTGTAGTTTTTTATTTAATTGAAATGTGGAATCCAGTATGTTTGAAAATTAGATGATGATGATTATGATTAAACGTTATTTATTATATTTATAATTTTCTTGTTTTTCCCTTCTTTGCAGGTATTTAGAAAATCTTTTAGCTTGAATAATAGTGTCGTTTATCACATTTTACGACGAAAATATTCAGATCAAAAAAATATTGTTTTAATAAATGATGTTAATGATGTTCGAAAAATAGTTTTAAACAGTCCCAAAACTCGGTGAGATAAATAAATGATATTTCTATGCCTTAACACAGAAAAATTTGATAAGGCCTAATTGTAATTTATTGCTATATTTAAATTTTTAGCAACTCATTATCTATGGAAATGATGGATAATATAATGCAGGGTATTAAAAGCATTAATAATTTACCAATTAGATGTATTGAAATATCTTCCAGTGGACCAGTTTTTTCATCAGGGCATAATTTAAAAGACTTGGTAAATAGTAAATGTTAAAAAATTTCATCGCAATGATCGATTATCGACTTCTACCTTTATTGTTTATACACATTAAAAATTCCAGTTTTCATTTATTTGTTCAAACATTTTCATTGACAAACCACATATTCATAGTACACAAAAAAAAGCCAGTTTATTAAAATTTAATGTCTAGGCAAGTGGAAATGAAAATCTTTACTTAGATACCTTTTCAAAGTGTGCTGATTTGATGTTGTCCATTATAGAGGCTCCTGTACCTGTTTTGGCCAAAGTAAATGGAATAGCAGCTGCTGCAGGATGTCAATTGGTTGCCACATGCGATATTGTCGTAGCATCTGACAAAAGTACATTTTCCACTCCAGGGTATGCATATAAACTAAATTACATTACATTAAACATAAAAAAATTTTTTTTAAATAAAGATTTATTTTTTTAGTGCAAATTTTGGTATATTTTGTTCTACTCCTGGAATAGCTTTGAGTCGTTGCGTAAATAGGAAAGCAGCTGCATTGATGTTGTTAACCGGTTTGCCAGTAACTGCTGAAGAAGGTTTGAGAATGGGTTTGGTATCGAAAGTTTGTAAGGAAAATGAATTAGGTAATAAAATTTCAAAAAGTTTTATTTATCGTTAGTTGATATGTTTTTACTATCATCAATAAACTGTGATCACATGTGTGAGATTATTACAACACACAATTTACATTATCTTTTTGTATTGTTTGCAGATGAAGAAGTTGATGCGATAGTTAATGCTATCAAATCTAAAAGTAAAGCAGTTATCGAATTAGGAAAAAAATTCTTTTACACTCATTTAGAGAAAGATATTTATTCTGCATATAAGTAAGTTTAATTCTTACCCTTTTTAATTTTTTTTAATTAAATTCATTTGCTGTTTTTAATGAACATTATTTATTTTTTAGATTAGGAGCTCAAGTTATGACAGATAATTTGAAATTAGTCGATGGACAAGAAGGACTTGAAAGTTTTGTACAAAAAAGGTCTCCAAAATGGATAAATAATTTTACAATGAGTGATAAATTCAAATGAAATCTTTTTTAACAAGGGAAACTCGTAATTCACTTCACAGTATCCTATCGTATAAAATGCAACAACAATATTTTTTTATTTTTTTTTTCCAGTTTTAATATAATAATCGTTTTACCATAATCGATTGTTTTTTACGATCGCCATTTTCATATTTTTTCAAAAGGAAGAAAAAATTTATTCCGCAATAATTAAATTTATGTCAAAAAAAAATGTGAAAAATGTTTCTCATGTAATTAATGCAAAATATTATCAATCAATGTTTTTATTTATAAATAAGGAAATGTAATGACACACGTAATAACTAATAATAATTAAATAGTTTTTTTTTTGCATCGTTAAAAATCGAAATATTTAATATAAATATGGAAAGTGTCGAAATTTGTTTGTCATTTTTTTTATAAATTATTAAAAATTTTAATTTAATTTTTTTTGTGCTTATGATTTTTTTTTTTTTTTTTAATATTACGGTAATTAATTACAATTTTGGAGAAGAAGGTATTAACGACATAAAAATTAATTTTGTAATAATTACATTAAAAATAATAATAATAATAATAATAAACAAGAACATTTTTCCCCGCTATCAATTTAACAACTCGTTAATTTTTTTTTTCTCTCATAATTCGTTGCATTTGAACCTGAGTTTTTTTGGTAAGGAAAGGAAAATGCAAAAAAAAAAATGACGAGATGAAAAAATTAAATTAATATTTATAATAATAATAATAATAAAATTATAAACAATTTACAAACGTTCACGTGACGAAATCATACAAACGTACGAATAAATAATTTAAGGTGCAAGACAACAAGAGCAGCAAACGATGGTCGCCTCTTTTTTTTTTTTTAACTCAGGTTTTTAAGTTCATTGACCCGAAAGAGTTCAACAACATCATATATATATTTAACTTTGATTTTAAATTTATTTTAACGGTTTTTTTTTTTTTTTTTTTTCAACTGGTATTTTGACGGGAAAATATTTACACAAAAATATTTTTACTTTTTTTTTTTTTTTTTTTTTTTGCATTACGAGTAAGTTTAACTAAATATTTAACCCTTTTTTTTCTTGGGGGGAAGCGGAAAAGGGGAGGGGGATTTTACAATTAATTCTTTTCCCCTTAAAAAAACAAAAAAAATCTTTTTGATTTGTTTTTTTTATAAATATCATTCCCAAAATATTATTATTATTATTTGAAAAAAAAATTTTTTTTTTAAAAAAAAAGGGAAAAAAAATTTCACTTTTTCTTTTTTTTATCCAAAACAAGGGAATTTTAAAAGCAAAAATTTTTTTAACTTTCACTCTTTCACGATTGAAAACAAAAATTTTTTGTAAATAATTTGTTAAATTGGATCGAATCGAACAAAATGAAATGGAAAAAAAAAAGAAAAAAAAAAAGAAAAAGGAAAAAAGGTTTATTTATTTAAATATCCATTTTGTTTTTCGATTAATTTTCACAAAAAAAGAAAAAAAAATTAATCAAAATCGGTGTTGTCAACTAGAAAATTAATGTTTTGAGCGTTTGTTTGTTTGTTTGTTAAATTTTTGTTGACACTAATTACGATTTTTATATTTAAAAAAAAAAAAAAAAAAACTAATTAAGACTAAAAAAAAAAATTATTTTTTCATATTCAGATCAAAGAAAGAAAGGAAAAATGTATTTTATTGGAGGAAATTTTTTATTTAAATTCGATTCGAATACGTTTATTAATCATCATCATCATCATCATCATCATCGTCGTCGTCGGTTAAAATCATTTTATTAAATGTTTAAAGAGAGAGAGAGAAAGAAAAAATTTTTTTTTTTTTTCAATTTAAAATAATCACGTGTCTCTTTAATAATAATTAATAACGAAGGTAACGTATCGTAATTGTGTCATCTCTGACTCCACGTCAGATGAACTTTAATAGAACAAAAAAAAAAAATACGTGGAAATAGAAAAACATAAAATAGATCAAGGCTAACCGAAAAATCGAACGCGGTCGACCAGTTCCTATCGAATAAATATTTTATTTATTTTTACTAATTCATATTAATTATAAAAAATAATTTTATTTTTAAAAAAATTATAAAAATTTTCATTTGTTATTTAAACAAACGATTTTTGGGTTTCTTCTAATGACACGACGAGGGAGGAAGGGAGAAAAAAATTTTTTTTTTTTTTTTTATCTTTCATTATCAATTCATTTTGAAAAAAGGACTTATTTTAATAATAATATTAATAATAAAATTATTTTACATATAGTTAAAAATGGGATTTATACGTTAAGAGAGAGAGAGAGAGAGAGAGAGAGAGAGAAAATCGTTTAATTAATAATAATGATGATGATAATAAAGAGTTTTTTAAAAAAATTTTCTTCGTTTTTTTCTTAACGTAAAATTATTACGTATTTTTTTTTGTTTCCCCCCTCTCTCTCTCTCTCTCTTTGTCTCTCTCTCTCTTTAGTTATCATTTAAATTCATTTGATAATTCATCTATGAGATTAATTTTTTCTTTGAAAAATAAACGTTGAAATCATCAACGTTCGATTGTGATTCATTCCGCCATTTGTAATTAAAAAAAAAACCTTCAAAAATTTTTTATTACGGTGAGTAATATTGCGGTGAATAATAATAATAATAATCGATGTTTTAGTATTTAAAAGTCATTTTTTAAACATTCGAATCGTTAAATAAAAAAAAATTTATTTTTCCTCCCCGCCTCCCCCACGGGGGTGTTTGTGTGGAATCATTCGGGGGAAACCAAACGTAACGACAACTACTACGACCTTAGAAAAAAAAAAATATAATTTTTATTACTCTATCATTTAATTCTTTTTTTTTTTGTTAAGTCGACAAACGACGACAAACGACGACAAACGATAACGTGACAATTATTTTTTTTTTTTAAATTTTTTTCCCGCGCTTAATTAACGAAAACAAAAAAAAATTTTTTTCTCTTTGCGTTTTTCAAAATTTTATTTAATTTAAAAAATCATTAAAAAAAATTCACACGAATTATTATTATTATTATTATCATTTATTGTTTATACCGAATTTGTTTGTTTGATTGTTTTTAAAAGTCTTCTGCTAAATTATTTTTTATTTAATTAATTTTGATTTGCCGTATGGAAAATCTCGTAATCGTCATGACCATTTTTAAAATTTTAAAAACGTCGTTAAAATTTGAAACAGATTTTTTTTTTTTTCTTATAGAAAAGTTTTATCGTTTGGAACGATACGATATATCGAATCGATTTTATTACTCGTTTTTAAAAGCGATACGATTTAAAAAAAAAAAAAATTTTTTCCCAATAAAAAAATAAAAAACGTTGAAATTCAAGAAAAAAAGAAAAAAAGAGAAAAAATTTCAAATCGGTTTAAATAAATAAATAAATAATAATAATAATAATAATAATATTTTCCTGTTTCTCTACTCCTTATATTAAAAAAAAAAAAAACCGAAATCATTTTTTATTAATAATAATAATAATAATAATTAATCGGATTAAAATAAAAGACAAAAAAAAAAAATGACACACGTTTGTGACGCCATTTTTGTTTTTATCCCAAAGGTTAACAACCTATTGTACTTTTTGTTTTTCGTTATAAATGTTATTCGTAAAAATCTTATTCAAAAGGTTTTGAAAAAATTTTATTTAGTCTTTCGAAAACCTTAAAACCTTAAAATAAAAGATCGTTAAATAAATAAATTTTTTAAAAAATTTTGCCAAAAAAAAAAAAAAAAGTCGTCGAACGAGTTTTAGCAAAAAAAAAAAAAAAAAAAAGTTGTTATTAATTTTCATTTTTAAAAATTTTTTTAACGTATTTTTTTCCTTCATCTTTTTAACGCGTCATTCGCGAATGTATTCAAACGCAACATCTATTATTATCATTATTATCATCAATACAACGAACGCAAATAATAAAAGGAAAAAAATAGAAAAAAATGGAAAAAAAAAAGTCGTTACATACCTTAAACAATATTAAAAATTTTTATTACTTTCCTTATCAAACCACGTGATTTTATTCTTGATTTTAACCTAAAATCGGTACAGGTATGCAAAAAACATTTTAAAATTTTTTTAGATCCAAATAATAATAATAATAACGAGATCGTTTGCAGAAAAAAAATTTCGACCCAATAACCCATATCAAGTTAATTTAATTATCGATAATTATATATGAACCAAAAATTTTTTTTTTTTTTTCGTTAAATTTGCAAATTTTCATGAGAGAGAGAGAGAGAGAGAGAAACGATTTATTTTAAAAAACAATTGTTTAATAACAAACAACAGAAAACAACCGACAGGAATTTTTTGTTTTTTTTTTTTAACAAGTGGAAATGAAAATTAATTATTAAAAAAAAAAAAAAATTGGGTCAATTGAATAAGGTAATAAAAATTAACGATTTTCAAAAGAAAATTTTTCAATTTGAAATTCAAGTCTCGAATATTTCCCCCCCCCCCCCGCCATCCCGCCTCTCATCAAATTTTCAATTCTTTACACGTACTTATACATCGAGTTTGTTTGTACCTATTGATAATAATAATAATAATAATAATAAATATTTTACAAATGTTATGACTACTTTTTCATAAAAGGAAAATCAATGAGAGAGTAAAAAGAAAAAAAATTTTTTTTTATGTATAAAACATCGCTAATAACACCTGCTTGGCTTTATTATTATTATTATTATTATCATTATTATTTGAACTTGACCTCGTTAATTTGACCACAAAGTGTTAAAATGATATAAATAAATTACGTGGAAATGAAAATAATAATAAAAGTAAATTTGAATGACAAATAAAAAAAAAAAAAAAATTGAAAAAACGGTTTAGAATTACTAAAAAAAAATTCTGGAGTTTATTTATTAAGTGATTTAATTAATTGGGGATCTAGTTACTGGAAATTCGAAAAACGATACCACCTCGGAAAAAATAAATAAATATGGAATTTAAATTTTAAATTTTAAATCAAATTAATAATCAAACGAAATTAACAATTCGCCAAGTAAAAGTTCTTCGCTCGTTGTTTATTATATTATTATTATTATTATTGTTATTATTATTATTATTTGATGGTAAATATTAATCCGGGATTCCAGAATTCCTTTTTCTTTTTCCCCTGGAAAATTTTCCGAACGGAAATAACGGTTAAATTTTTTTTACTATGCGTAGTAAAGAAAATTTTCATTTGTTTTTGTAAATAGTTAAACGTTATCATCGAAAAATAATAATAATAATAACGTTATCAGGTTAAGCAAACACTTAGAACGCACAATTTACATTAAGGTACAGAAAATAATAATAATAATAATAATTAAAACGATATTCAAAATATAAAATTAATAAAAGGTATTTTAAAAATGGGCGTTTTTTTTTTTTCAGTTTCACCGTGTTGTTCCTCAGGTTTAGGTATATATACACGGGTAAAATGGTAGTAAAAATCGTTATAGCTACGTTGCCAAATTTAATAGTTGGAAAAAAAAATCAAGTACCAATGTTGCATGGGTACTCCTCTCTCTCTCTCTCTCTCTCTCACACACTTACCTGAGTATTTTTACAGCTACTTTCAAGGTATGAATTATATGTTAAAACGGTCTACGTTTCTTTTCGATCCGTTTTTGAATTTTTTTTCGGTTATGTTTAGTACACTCGGATAATTTCAAAAAAGGGTAAACCGGATGAGGGTCGGTGGTAGTGAGGGGAGAAGGAGGAAAGAAAGGAAACTTTCGTGAAAATAGTTTTGTTTGTTGTGAGTTACCGAGTTAACGGTTGTCATGGTTTTCATCCCTAACACCTACCCATAAAAAAAAAATATTTTTACTAAGGGGGTAAAAATAAATAAAATGTTTTATTATTAACAATTAAAAAACATAAAAGTTTTACACGAATCAACTTAAACTCGATTAAAAGTTAATAAAAAAAAAAACTTTAAGTTTTGTATGTTTTGTTAATTAAGTACGGTAATTGTATTTTTTGTACGGGAAATTAAAATAAATTGTAAAATATTATTATTATTATTAATAAAATTGAAGTTAAAATATGCGTGAAAGGTTTTCGGAATAAAAAAAAAAAAGAAAAGGTGAAAACAATCGTTGGTGTGAATGTGGTACGAAAGTTTCAGGCATTAAATAGTTAGACCGTTTTACCATAGAAACAATCATTGTTGTTTGTGTGTGTGTGAGTGTGGTGTTGTCTTCGAATAGCATTCAGTCGACGTTGAGCAACCGTGAAGATGGCGATGTTAAGTGTTCAGTTTATTTTAATATGTGCGTTGGTTGGAAGAATAAATTCTCAAGGCTGGAGCACGGGAGATAATAATAATTATAATAGAAATTACGGTCAAAATGATCATTATTCAAATAACGCGTTCGGTTTCGGAGGAAGCGGGAATACATTGGAACCTTTTAGAATGGTGTACGAGTGGAAACAACTGGATTATAATTGGTTCGACGAAATGACGAGGACTCAATCGCTCAACAATAAGCGATACATACCTGAAAATAATGCATTGGTCGGTGTGAAAGCATGGCGAGACAGAATTTTCGTTACGATTCCGAGGTGGAAAGAAGGCGTGCCGGTAACCCTTGCGTCGGTTCCCTCGCAACCATCACCCAACAATATGTCACCTCGATTGGAAGCTTTTCCTAATTGGGAAATGCAAGAAATTGGAAATTGTTCGGCACTTCAATTTGTTCAAAGTATGGAAATCGATACGGAGGGCCGAATGTGGATTATAGATACGGGAAGGATAAATTTAATGTCTGGTAGTGGTCAAGATTCAAGATGTCCCCCTAAATTAGTTATTATTGATTTAAATTCGATTCAATTTCCATTTTCGAATCAGTTCGGACCGGGACCCAATCAATTTGGACCCCAAGGTTTTTCAGGACCGAATAATTACCAAGGAAATTTCGGTAATAATCCCTACAACAACAACAACAATCCGTACTCAAACCAAAATCAACCTTTCAATCAAAATCAACCTTTTAATAATAACAATTTTAACAATCCTAATCAACCCTACAATCCTAACCAGCCATTTAATTCAAACAATCAACCAAATCAGCCTTACAATCCCAACAATCCACCTAATCAGCCTTTCAATAATCAATACAACAATCCAAACAATCCAAACAACCCTAATTCTTTCAATCCTTATAATAGAAATAATAATAATAATCAAAATTTTCCCAATTCAAATTTTCCAAATCAAGGCCAATACAACCAAAACCCAAATTTTCCTCAGGGATTTAATAATTATCCTGGTTTTAACTCCAGTAATCCACAATACGATCAATTTGGAAATTTTATTAACAACAACAACAACAATCAGCAAAGAGGATTTCCTGGACAATATCAAAACAACCAAGGATTTTCTGGAAATTACAATCCATCGGCTCCTTTCGGAAATCCATTTAACAAAAACAATTTCAGAATTGTTAAAATGTTTAACTTTCCTAGTAATGTTGCGTCGCAATACAGCAGTTATTTGAACGACATAGTTTTGGATAATTCAAATGGATGGTATGCATACATAACGGATATGGGTGACGACCCCGGTATCATTGTTTACAGCCTTAGAGATGATCGATCGTGGAAGGTCAAGGATGCAACATCCATGAGATCTGATCCAGATACTAATTTCGTATCAGTCAATAACATCGATATCGATTTGCAAAGAAAGAATCTTGACGGTATTGCATTGTCACCCGTCATGGGATACGATAGAACCCTTTACTACTGTCCTTTGGGAAGTTATAATTTATACTCAGTGCCAACATCCGTGCTCAAAAATCCAAATCTTTCGAGTGATATATCATCGTCGGTGAAAGATTTAGGACGGAAACAATCCATATCTGACGGTATGGTTATGGACAACAGAGGATTCCTTTACTACGGTTTGCTGGGTCAAAACGCTGTCGTTTCATGGGATTCGAACAGAGGTACCAGAATCGACGATGGAAGTAGAATTCTCGCACGTGATAATAATTTATTACAGTGGCCAGATTCTTTTGCCATCGACGACAGTGGAAACCTTTACGTTGTCAGCAACAGGCTTCAAAATTACATAACCGGTCGAGTGAATCTTAACGAGCCGAATTACAGAATTCTTCGTGCACCTCTCGGCATAAGAAGCTACATGTATCCGGCAGACACCTCAAGACGAGGAGGAGGTTTCGACGGTCAATCCAACGGCTACGATAACTATTGGGGCTCCGGATACAATAGCTACTACTACAATTTCGCTGGAACGCCATCAGTAAACGTTTTCCTTTTAGTTTCATTTTCCTTTTTCCTCATTGTGAGATAAATAAATAATAATAATGGAACGTTTGTTGAATTTAGTCAATAATATCATGAGGTGTACGCGAAATGACGGGACAATCATCATCAACATAAAATATACAAACGGGAAAAATTATTCGAGTGTTCATCGACGACGCTGTCGTCCATCCAAACAAAAAAAATGGCCAGAAAAGAAAAGTGTTTGACGAAAAGTGCGTTTTTTTTTTCTCTCTTCGCCACATCCTCACACCGGAAGAGGTGTGTGTAAGAGAACGAGAAAGGTGAAAGTTGAACAGGAAGTAAACAAACATGGGGGGAAGGGGGGAAAATTAATTTCAAGCATTTAATTCAACCAGCTCACAAAGTGTATAGTTAATATTATTATTAATATAAACAAACCTTTTTTATATTTAATATTTAAATGAACAAAAAAAAAAAATTATTTCTTTTATTATTATTATTATTATTATTATTTATACGAAGTAAAAAGCCATTTTTTATTATTATTATTATCATTGTAAACAAATCGTTTAAATGTGCATATACATACATACATATATTTATGTAGATCAATATAGTTATGTGATTGGGTGTGTGATAACAGATTTTATTTGTTTATATTTAAAAAAAAAAATTTATTATTATTATTATTAATTTATAATAATTTGCTTTTGCTAAAAAAAATTTTTTTTTTTACATTATTAATATATATATAATACATAATTATTTTTTTACATTTTATGTATGCCATTTTAAATAAATAAATAAATAAATTTTTTTTTTTTTTTTTTTAATAAAAAAATTTTTTATTTTTCTGCATAAAAAAAAAAAATCACAAACATCATCATTATTATCGTTGCTTTTGTTGTTTATTATTATTATTATTATTTAAATGTTACAATTGAATTATTTATAAACAAAAATGATGATTTTTATAATAAATAAAAACAATTTAATCATTTAAATTATTTATTGATTTTTTTAATAATAATTTTCATACATAAGTTCGAGTTCGATTGGTCGCCATGATGACAAAAAAAGGTTGTAAATAATAATAATGATAAATGAAAGGGGGGATATATTTATAAACAATGTTTGTTCGTTTGTTAAAAAAAAAAAAAAAACAATCGTGGAAACTCGTGTGCACTCGTTAATTATTATTATTATTACTTTTTTTTTTAATAAAATTATTTTGATTTTAAAATTTATAGTAAACAATCCGGTGTCCTCCCTTTTTTTTTTTTGTTTAAACAAAATAATTTTTTTATTGTTAACATTGTTTTTCACGGTGAATGAATTTTATAATTATTCAGCGTTGTATAAAATTAATAATAATAAAAAAAATGGTGTGGTTTCCCTTTTATCCATTAAAAAAATTAAAAAAAAAAAACAACAACTTTTTTGTTTGTTTGTTTGTTTGTTTGTCGTTGTTGTTTTAAACGTTATCAAATAAGAGAAATTTATATTATTATTATTTTATTAAAATTGTTTAAATCTTTTGAAGAAATGATTTTTCGAAAGAAAAGTATATTTTATTCTATATATTTACACTTGAATAATAATAATAATAATGATGATGATGATAATGATGATGATGATGATGATGATTACGATGTTACAAAATGAAAGGAAAGAAAAAAATTATTTTTTGCAAATATTTGAAATGCCTAATTTTTATAATATTAATTCGATCGTTAACACACTTTTACTTTACACACAATAATAAAATGTTTTCAAATGGAATTTAGGCGATTGGTTTGAATGAGGAGTGAGAGAGAGAGAGGGGGGAAGGGAAGGGGAGAGAGAGAGAAAGAAAATGTTTTTATAGTTCATCGAATGGGTAATGAAATGTATTGAAAGGAAAGTTCTGGAGTCAAAAATACTAATCGAATGGATGATAAATTTGAAAGTGTTGGTTCATTAAGAACGTTTTTATTTATTTTTAGTAGTAATGATGATGATGATGGTGATGGTGATGGTGATGATGGTAATGGTAGTGGTGATGGTGATGGCGATGGTGATGGCCTGGTGGTGGTAATGGTAGTGGTGATGGTGATGGTAGTGGTAGTTGTGGTGGTGCAGTGATGGCGATGGTGGTAATGGCGATGGCGATGGTGGTGATGGTGATGGTGATGATGATGATGATGGTGATGGTAGTGGTGATGGTGATGGCGATGGCGATGGCGATGGCGATGGTGGTGATGGTGATGGTTTTTTTTTTTTTGATTCGGGAAACATTTTCGAAATAAAATAACGAAAAAAAATTTAAATTTGTTTCCTTTTTTATTTTTATTACCGTTAATTAATTATTATTGGTCTAAGGTAATAAAATGACAGAATTTGCACGATTTTAAACCGGAAATGAAATAATTTTATTACCGGAATAGAATTTTGTTTTTTTTTGTAACCGTATTAATAATAATTCGAGTCTAAATTTTTTTTTAATCAAAGCCAATGTGTAAAAATATTTTTCTATTTAATAATTATTTTTAATTGCAAAAACTCGTAAAAATGGGGCCCATCCATCATTTCGAAGCCCCTCAAAAAAAAATTTTTCAAAATTCGAGGGTACTTTTTCGTTTTCTTAAAATCGATTTTAAAAACAATAATTCGATAATCGAGATTAAAAAAAAAAAAAATTTTAATTCTCTCATCGTAATAATTTACGTAATTTATTATTATTTAATGTGCGAATCATGCGTTGGTTGACATTTTAACAGCAATAATAATAATAATAATAATAATATTACGCATTAACCTCCGTTTATTACCCGAAAATTTACAAATGTAATTTTTTTTTTTATTAACAATTAGCTTTAATAATTTTTATTTTTAAAAAAAATTATCCATTTTTAGCAAGATAAAAAATTTTTTTACATAAATGTCATTTTTTTTTTAAACAACAAAAGACGAAAAAAATATTTCAAGGTTTCAAGGTTTGTAAACAAATAAGTTATCTTATAGTAATTATTATTATCATCATTACTAATTAATTATACCTTCCTGTAATTACTTAATAATAATAACATAATATTAAACTCGAGTTAAAATTTATTTTATTTTTTTTTTATTTTCAATTTTCAAAATTTTCATTTTGGAATTTTTGTCCGTTCAAAAAATTTTTTAGTGATCGGAAAAAATGATAATTATTTGGAGATAGTTCGGGACTATAAGGAGGGTGCGGTAAAACATCCCAGCATACTTCCAGTAGTTTTTGTCCAGTGGCTAAAGATGTATGAAGCCTGGGATTATCGTGGTGAAAGACAATTCCTTTGCTATTGGCTAGCTCCGGTCGTTTTTCTTGGATGGCATTATTTAAATTAGTTACGTGTCGAATGTAAACCTTTGAATTTATGGTCTGACTTCGTGGCAGCAGCTCAAAGTTGACTATGCCTTTGTAATCCCACCAAAATGATGACGGTACCTTTTTTTGCTGAATGTCAGCCTTAGAAGTTGTTGGTGCCTGTTTCTCTTGCGTAGACATGTATCTTTTCCTCAAGAAGTCATCATAAACAACCCACTTTTCATCTCCGGTAACCATTCTTTCAAAAAAGAGTCATTCGCGTCATTGCGTTTAAGAAGCATTAAGAAGCATTAAGTCGCCTCGTTAACTAACGTTCCCCAAAGTAACACATCTAGCTTCTTTACAATGTCCTTAGTCGAACTATGCCGATCATAATCAATGAGGGCCTTTATTTGCTCATCATTGACCTCCAATGGCCGCCCGGAGCGCTCCTAATTTCTCAAAGGAAAATCTCCAGAACGGCATTTCGCAAACCAGTTTTTGACACTGCCGTTCTATTAAGGCTTCATCACCCTACACAGCTTACAACTTTTTATGGACTTGCGAAGCATTAACACTCTTTCAAAAATAAAAAAGGAAAATGTGGAGGAAATGATCGCTTTGGCTCCCCATGTTTAAATGTCTTTTGCTCGCGCAATATTTAAGAGTTTAAAGAAATTTTGGTACCGACTGTTACAGAAGGAACCAAGTAATAACATATCAAAAGTTTATGTCTGTCCGAAAATGTAAACGTCCTCAAAAAAATGGACAAACTATCTGTTGGTAAAATCCGCAGTTACTTACTTTCCAACCCAATATTTTAAAGATGAATCCATTTTTAATTACGTAATATATATATATATATATATATATATATATATATATTGCGTCGTTTTATCACCCCCACCCCCACCACCACCGCCACCACATTCATAATAATTTTATTTAACAATAAAAAATGAAAAAAATTTATTCACGATAATATTTAACGATTGAGAATTAACCGTAACGAATTTATGATAATGGAAGGCGGTGAAAATTTTTTTTTGTTAAAAGATTTTAACCGAGTAAAAATTTAACAAAAAAAAAAAAAAAAACCAAAGTCAAAAAACTAAAAGGTTAATTTAAAAAAAAAAGAAAAAAAGTACGTTATATAATATATAGTAGTAAAACATGAGAATAAAACTCACGACGTAACGACTAGGTCAAAGGTTAAAATCCTTCAACAGGCTTTCAAATTTTTTTTTTTTTTGGCATGCAATCGAACGTAATGAAAAAAAAAAAAAATTTTTCATCGTCGCTTGTTTCACGGCCATTTGTTTGTTCGTTTGTTCGTTTGTTTGTTAACTTAACAATAAGTAAATTAAAATAACAAGAAAAAAAACTCGAAATGTTGAATAATAATAATAATAATTTTGGCCGGTTGAAAGTGACGAATCGTAGTTAACCATTAACAAAAAAAAAAAAAAATTCAGGTTCCAAAAAAAAAAACTTGTTTGTAAATATTATGAGAAAAGAATAAGTTATGTTACCTATGGAAATAATCGAAAAAAAAAAAAATGTTTTAAAACATTCGATATAAAATATTTATTTATTAATAATAATAATAATAAATTTTATGTATTGTAAATTTCATATTAAAATTATTTATTTATTATAAGACAAAATAATTCATTTTTTCTTTTTGTCCAAGGTTATTATTAAATCACCTTTTGTTATTGAATTTTTACTTAAGGAAATTTTACATGTGTTTGAGAGAGAGAGAGAGAGAGAGAGAGAGGGAGAGAGAGAAGGGGAGAGAGAGAGAGAGAGAATAAATATCTACAGTATAAGTGTTAGTATAAAAAAAAATTTTTTTTCTTTTAATTGTAACACAATAATTAACTTAAATAAATGATGAGGAAAGGTTGTGAGCGTGTTTATTATGTTTTTTTTTTTTTTTACTCACTACAACATAAATACTGAGTGTAATAATGAGTCAAGCTTGTAAAATGTATTGCAACATTAGAAACTCGTTCCAAAAATGGATATGATGTCAATTTTAATAGGTACTTTAAGGTCGAAATTCCAAACGTTTTCTGCATTTTATTTTATTTTTAAACCTCTGTTTATTATTACAAATGGTTGTGCGATTTAATTTATAAACGTATTTACAATAATAAAAAGGTTTTCGTATTAAAAACAATTAATTTTTAATTAGGACTAAATGCGCTAAAGTAAATTTAATTTTTGGACTTTTTTTTTTTTTTTTTTGTAAATAATTAATTTTTTTACTAATCCGTAAAAAAAAATATAATTTATATTTATTTTTTTAAAATTTAAAAATTTTAAAATTAATTAATTTACAATAATTTTACAAAACATTTACACTCTAATTTTATTTTTAAAAAAAAATTTTTTTTTTTTTTTGCGGTTTTTTTTACGCTTGCACAAAAAAAAACGCCTGCAATTTTTCAAGTTAGACTTTTTCAAATCAACAAATCAACGCTTTTTGCATAACACAATTTATTGCAGTTTACAAAAGCGAATTTTATTTATTTCATTTAAAAAAAATTTTTTTTTTCGTTACAACGATTTTAGTCGAAAATAATAATAATAATAAAATAAGCTACGTTACATAAAAATAAATTTATTGATTTTTAAGTTTTATCAAAATCAGATTCATTAATTATTTGTTACAATAAACACAATATATACAAAATTTTTAAAAAAAAATTATACAGATAATAATAATAAAAAAATTACATAGAACATGATATATAATATAAAGTATGCATTTATTTATTTATTTATTTATTTTTTTTTTTAATATATTTTTTGTAATATTTGCTTAGTATTATAATACGTCCATAATTCACTGAATAATAATAATAATAATAATTGTTATTATATATTTATATATATATATATATATATATATATATATTTATTCCGTTCTTTGCGTTACTGGAGGAAATTCACTGTCGTCGTCAAATCTGAAAACTCCTTTTAGAGGAGATTCAGAAGCTGCTGCTATTTCACGAAGTTTATCCGAATCTGAAAAAACAATTTTGGAAAAAATTAAAAAAAAATTAATTAATTAATTAATTAATTATAATCTCATTTGTGTTATTTATTTGGCATTAATTTATTTTAAGGCTCGGGGAAGGGGGGAGAAGGAGGAGGAGGGAAATGTTCTCTTTCTTTAATTTTGATTTTATTTATTTGCCATTTATTATTTTATTAATCGCAATTGAATCCTTTTAATGTCGTTTTTTTTCTTTCTTTCTTAAATCGACATAAAACTAACCACCACCACCACCACCACCACCATGCACACCAATATAAATTTTTAAATACCTACTTATGGGGGGAGGGGAGGAAACCTTAACCACACAAAAAACATAACTTGAAAAAGTTTTTAAAAAAAAAACTATTCTACAAATAATAATACACATAGAAATATTTACAATAAAATATTTTTTTTTAAATAATTAAATAAATAAGATAAAGGAAAAGATGTATTAGTCATCGCATGTCACATCCCATTAAAATTATTATTATTATTAATAAGGAAAGCAAGTATTACAAGTTAACGCACATTTTTTTTTAAACGGAAATACATGAAAAAAAAATAAAAATAATAATAATGATAATGATAAATTTCGGCTATGTATTTGATTGTAGACATGGATTAGTCATACCGATACCTGACATTGTTCCATTGCTAGTACGTCCTTTGACAATTCCAGCGTAGGTACTTATGGATCCTGGACAAAAGACACGTTTCCTTAAAATTACATAAAACAGCTTTACGTGCTGCTTGACATATTAGTAGTGTCGGTGTCGTGGAAAAGAACGATTAATAAGAAAAAAAAAAAAAAAATTCCATTTTTGAAAATTTGACTAATTTTTTTCGCAAACCATAAATTTTTTCTTTCAATTAATTTAATTTTTATATTTTTTCCGATAATATTCGAAATATGAAAAAAAAAAAAAAAAAAAAAAAAACGGAAATTTCAAAAAATGCAAAAATTTAGTATTAGTTGAAAAAAAAAAAAAAGTTTAAAAAAGAAGAGACACCAAATAAATAAATAAATACTTAAATTTTTTTTAAACTTCAACATCATTCCAAATATTTAAATCCCCTCCCCCTTTTTCGATTCAAAACTTAATCCCTTAAATCCCAAATATGAATTAATGTACTTTTATACCTTTCCCTCCCTCTCCCTCCCCCCCGCCTCTTCCATAAATAAAACTTGAAACAAAAAAAAAAAAATTTTAATAATGCATGTTGTTAAGAAATTCAGGAGAAGTCAAATTTTCAAAAATTTATTTGAATTTTATTAAAATAATTTTTTTTTTTTTTCTTTTTTTTTCTTTTTCTATTAAAAAGTGTGATAGTTTTAACAAGTACAAAATATCCTTAACCGAAAAACTTTCAGCCATACTATTCATATTAATTGAAAATCAATTAATTAATGAAAATATTTGTATTTCGCTGAAAGTCTATTCATAAAACATTGTGTGTTAAACATAACCCAAAACAAACAAAAAAAAAAAAACATTTTTTTTTTTTTTTTTAATGTTAATTAAATACAAAGATTTGTGTGGCAATATCGTTACCGGAAAAAGACATTTTTTTTTTTTTTTTGATCTTTTCGGTAAAAATAATGCCTTGTCTTACTGTTGGCAATTAACACAAAATAAACGTTCAACTTTTTTTTTTTTTTTTTTTAAAATAAAAAAAAAACATTAATAATTAAACAATTACTTTTTCAAATAAATTCCGATCACGCAAATCATCTTTTGAACTCATTTTATAAAAAAAGTTTCATTCAAAGTTTGAAATTAAATTAAATTAAAAATAAAATTTTCATTTTACCTGTCCCTTGAATTTTCGTCGTATCGTTGGGCACTTTACCATCAACTTGATCACTTGCAGGTATGGAAATTTCCCTTGTTCCAAGCCTGTAAAAATCGAAGAGAAAAACAAAATTTTATGTCTTTCAAGTTTTATAAATTCATAAAAAAAAATTATTATTATTCTCTATTTATACCTATGCTGTTTTATCAAGGTACAATCTCCACCTTCGTTTGTATCCAAATTATAAACGTAAAGAAATCCATCGGTGGCCGCCACCAACAATCTCAAAACTTTTTTTATTCTAACGAAAAAAAAATATTTCAATTTATTAATAATAATTTTAATGGTAAAATACAAAAAAAAAATCTTAAAAAATTTATTTAAAAAAAAAAAAACTCACGTCGTTATGGCGCATACATTTCTTATACCCTGAAATGGAAGATGGACCGTTGCAAAGGCTCTACCTTGATTGAAAACATCTGTGACTTGTGTTGGAAGGTAATTGGCGCTAGCACTTACAGCTTTTGTTAAATATCCTATCCAACCTTGATTCTCATCGTTACTTGGTCGAATTCTAAATATATATTAAATATTTTTTTATTTATTATAAATAAACGTTCATTTTTCAAACGAGAAAAAAAAAAAAAAACAATTTATAAACTTGCGTTTCTTTAGGCTCTTCTAATTTGAAAACGTGAACAGTCTCCGTGTTGCTCGAACAACACAAATAATTTGAATCCGTACTAAAAACTAGGCTAGATATAGACACGCATCTTTTAACGCCTCTTCTAAATTCGTAAAGTTTTGTTCCATCTTGAATATTGAATACTCTAATTACTGTTCCTTTTTCCGAAGCAGTGGCAAGTTCTTTACCAGAAGGAGAAAATGCCAAAGCGGCTAAAGGTGAGTCATGAGCTGGAATCATTATCTTGGCATGCTGAAAATTAATTTTTAAAGTTATATTTTCTTTCGATTATTAATATCATTTTAATTTTAAACTCACCAAATTGCTAGCATCGAAAATTTGAACTTCGCCAATTGTATTTGATCCTGGATAAGCGAGAAAACAATTATCAGCAGAAACTGATAATGTCACCAAACCGGAAGGATTGGGTGGTGTATCTCTGATGGTATGCAAAATTTTCATGTCTCTCATATTATGAATGTAAAGGGATTCTTCTAAACAAACTATTAGCCTCTAAAAAATTTGAAAATTGTTTCATTACTTACAATATTGCTCGTGAAATACTTCCTTTTTTTAAAAAACTTTTTTTAGTTTTTTTTGTTTACATACAGTCCTATTTAATTTGACAGCTAGAATTGTGTTTGAATAACTGTATTTGCATATTTCTGTGCCTTTTCTAAAGTGGCAAACTTGTAGTTTTCGAGGGGAGGAGAGTGATACAATTGCAACAAGGCTACTGGAGAATAATCTTTCAACGATACAAATGTCTTCCGCTTCTGCAAATTAAAAATTAATTAAAAATGTTAGTTTGTATTATTATTTTAATCTTAAATATCATTTAATAAAATATGAATCTCTTACCATTTTCATAAATTTGTTCTAGTAAGTCAACTGAATGTAGAGAAAATAATTTATATCCTGTTTTGGTACCAACTGTCAATGACCTGTAAAAAAAAAAAAATTTTTTTATTTAATTTAATTTGAACTGAATTTATTTTTTTTTTTTTTAAATGTAAATAAATTAATATTTAGTTTAGTTAAGTGTCATAATTTGCTATTTGGCAAAGGCTAGTTTAAAAAACAAAAAATTACTTTTTACTGCTTTGCAAAAAATAAAGTACGAAGAAAAATCTCTCGAGACTTTCAACATTTTGTTTAACATCAGATAAACGGAATTTTAAAGACTATAAGTTAAATAAAACAATATTATGAAATAATTATATTGGCTTTAATATTGTTTGAATTAAATGTCAATTAAAAATTTCAAATAAATGTTATGTCTGATCCGAAAGAAAATTGAAATAGTAAATTAAATTTTTTATTGATAAATCTACAAATGTATAGAGTTTTGCATTAAACAAAAAGAAATTCACATTATGCCAATTCATATTAACATTCAGGCTTACCTTGAACAATACTTATAAAATTTAGTTTACCTTGATTCAACACTTTCTTATTTATGAACAACATCTATTGCATTGTAATAAAAATTATAATTAAAAAGGAAAAAATATATACATATATGTATTGCTGAATAATTTGAAAAGATTTCCAACATTCAACATAATATTTACTAAATTATAATAAATAATATAAACAATTTCAAGTAATCGGTATGAAAAAAAATATTGTCGAATTATTTATTAAACAAAAAATCATTTGTTTAAAAATTTTTTGCAAATTAATTCGACCATAAAAAAGTTATTTAAAAATTCCAAAAATGAATTAATGTTTAAATTTATCTACTAATTTATGCAGATTTTTTTACTTGGCTTAAAAAAGTCTAGGGTAATTCTTTTTTAATATGTCTTTGCCCTGTAAAATTATTGAGAAACGAATATTTGCCTATGACGTCATAGGCTTTTATTAACAGCTGATTTTAGAGTCTTTGTTTTGAGTGAAGATTGTTTATTTCAAGGCCCCATCAAAAAAAACCTATTTTTTTAAACACTTACGTTCAAATATGTAAGCTTAAACTAGTAGTAGAGTATAAAAAGATGCAAAATTTTTATTTTATTGACGTGTTAAGCCTTATTTGAGACAAAATAAAAAGTTGAAATCGTTTTGTAAAATTTTTTTACTTACGTGCAATCCTGATTAAAATTAACAAAATAAGCACCGTTGGCTGAATCTGAGGCTTGAGTAGCGAGGTTCATTAGTCCAGATATTCCGGCTTTAAATCCTTCTGTTAATACATTAATGTTCTTCCCAAAATTTTGCATAAACTAATTTTTTACAATCAATAGCTATATACCTCCCTACAATTTATTTGAATTCGCCATATTGCTTTTTTTCATAAAGTACCACTTTATTATGTCGACAACGTTCAAATTTTAATTTTTGCGACAAAATTAAAAACGCGACAAAAAAAAATCTTACCGCCATTTTTCATTCTTAAATAATAATAGTTGATAATTTAAAGATTTTTTTTTTTTTTGAATTTATTAAATCACTGATGATTTCCAGTTATCAGAAACAAATTAATTAATAAAAGAAGGTATTTCACTTAATATTATTTTTAATTATATTTTCAATTAATTAAAGTTTTACTTACCAATTATTAAATTCTTATTTTAAAAAAAATAATATTAAACTCACTATGTTAGGCTATATACTTTTTGAATCAAACACATAATTCAAAAACTGATATTCCAAGAGTTAAAACATTATTAAAATGATAAAAACAAAAAATGTTCACAAATAAAAATAAAATAGATTTAAACTAAAAGTTTTTTAAAACAAAAATTCGTTTTTCTTTAAAAGAAATAACTTGTTTTCTCAACATGTAATATTATATCATTATTATTTAAATTAAATAAATGTTTATTTAAAATTTACATTAATTGTATTTGTGGTAGGCTTCATTTGTTTCTCATATATTTATATATTTACATTTTAAAGTAATTATTATTAAAATGAAAAAATTCTATTATAATTCTTACAATTTTATTAAAAAATACTTAAATTTTTTTTTCAAAAGACAATTTTATACAAATTTTTTTCATTTTGCAAAACCTGTTTAAAAACGCACAAAAAAAAAAAAAGTAAAAAATTATTTCTTCTTATGTAAGCTAATTAACTGATTTAAATTTTAATAAACTAATAAGTACAAAATGATAACTTATCATTTAAATAAAATACAATTAATTAAATTATTTATTTGTTTCTAACAATTTCATTTTTACACCCTTTAAATTTCAAAATTTCTTTTTTTTTTTTTTTTTTTTTTTTAAATTTTTGAATTTCAGACTAATTTAACAATAAATAATATTAGTTTTAATTTTATTTAAAAAAAAAAATATTGTAAAGGAAATAAAAACAAAAGAATATATATTATTTATTTAAAATAAGGCATTTGTTTTTATATTGATGAAAATAGCCAAATGTAAATTTATTTATCAGCCCTGAAATTCATGGCCGTTTTAAATGTAAATTAAATATAATTAAATAAAAAAATTAAAACGAGTTTCGAATAATTTAATGAAAAAGAAAAAAACAAAGTAAAAACGAGTATTTAATATTTTTAAATAAAAATAATAATTTTTTTAAATCCCTCCTCAGAAATATTTTTATTTTTTTTTTTATTAAATTTTTTTAAAATTTATTCTTGATTTGATGTTTTTATTTAATCAATAGTAAATATTTTTGCTGGTATTTAGTCCAATTTTTAACCATATCAAAAAGGTTTTAATCTAAAAAAAAATATTAAAAATTTAATGCCAATTTTTATTAAAATATTAAAAAAAAAAAAAAAAAATATTTTTTGGTTTCGAAGTCATATAAACTTTACCCTTGAAATTTAAATTTAAATTCAATAAGTAAATAAATAAATAAATAAAATTAATAATACTTGGGAGGAAAAATTTAAATTATTGTATAAATACGCAAAAAAAATAAATAAATACGATAACATTGAGTTAACTTATTTTGATACTTAATATAATTATCATTTTCCAGTTGTCATTATTCGCATAAACAAGTTTTTTTTTTTTTTTTTTCTTTCTGTATAAAATATTTTAAAAGTTTACTTAACATAAGTTAAATAAAATTTTATCTTAGCACGTAAGCCTAAAACCGAGTTATTTTTATATATAAATATATTTAAAAACAAGAAGAAAAAAAAAAAGAAAAAAAAAAATTCAACAGATTCGTTATATCAGTCATAGTAAAAACAGTGTGTGGGTTTTCTACGTTAGTGATAAGAGATATAGTGAATTCAATTTTTAAAAAAATTTTTTTTATATAATTTAATAATGATATTAATATTGGTTTTTTTAATAACTCTACTTTTTTTTCATTGGCTAACAATGAAACCACGAAATTATCCACCAGGTAATTATTTATTTTATTTAAAAAAAAAAAAAAAAAAAAAAATGGGGGAAAAGAAATTGCGATTAACTTTTAATAATATTTTAATCGTAGGACCACCGTGTCTTCCTATTTTGGGATCTATACCTTTTATGAAAACAAATAATTTTCATCTTTATTTACAAGAGATAAAAAAAAAATATGGACCGGTTATTGGATTTAAAGTTGGAATGATTAATTTGATAGGAGTTGTTGGTACGAAAGAAGTTAACGAAATTTTTACTAGACCTGAATTTCAAGGACGTCCTCAAATAGCATACTTCGATCCCGGTTAGCTATAAAAAAAAATTATTTTAAATAAATAAATAAAATTGAATTGTAATTAAGTAATTGGATTGATATTTTAGGTATTATGTTTAGCGAAGGACAATTTTGGTTATCGCAAAGAAGGTTTACCGTACGACATTTAAGAGATTTTGGTTTTGGTAAAAAATCAATTGAAAATGTTATCCTAAATGAATTTGATGATTTTATACATTACGTCATTAAAGATAAACAAATTTTTCAAGTATTTAATTATAATAAATATTTTTTTTTTTTTAAAAAAAACAAATTAAAATAAAACTTTTAAAAAAATTTAGGTTAGTGGAATATTTAATACATCAGTTGTCAACATATTATGGGCTATGATTGGGGGAAATCGTTTTTCATATGCGGATAAAGATTGTAGAAAATTATTAGAAACCGTTACAAATCTTTTCCGTTCTGGCGACGTAACAGGAGGATTATCCAACACTTTTCCAATTTTACGTAAATTATTTCCATTTTTTTTTAAAAGGGAAATATCCAATCGACAGACTATCGATAATTTTTTAAAAGTAAGTAAATAAATAATGATGATGATGATGATGATGAATTATATAACCTTTTGATGTATTTAATTTTTTTTTTAAATCCAGAACGCCATTAAGGATCATAAAAAAATGATAACTGATGAACCACAAGATTTTATAGATGCTTATTTAAAAGAATTGGAAAAAAAAGATCCATCATTGGATCCATCATTTAATGAAAATACTTTAGTAAGAGTTTGTAATGATATATTTACTGCTGGTGCTGATACGATAGGAAGCAGTATAGGATTTTGCCTTTTGTATACCGTTTTATATCCAAAATGGCAAGATGTTATTTATGAAGAAATAAAACAATTTAGAGAAAATGAAACGGGTTCACTGCTAGACAATAGGAAAAGGTTTTGTTTTTGATGATGATAATATAAAAAAAGATAAATAAAATATTTTTTTTTTGTGATAACTCAAAACAAATAATAAACATTGTTATCGATTGTGTTGTAGTTTTCCAAAATTGGAAGCGTTTTTAACCGAAGTTAGCCGATGCAATACAATTGCATCAATTGCAGTTCCACACAAATCCCTAAAAGATACAACTCTAAATGGTTATTTTATCCCTCGTAACACAACAATCCTGGTCAGCATATGGGCCGTATTGCAAGATAAAAGTATCTGGAACGATCCAGAAAAATTCAGTCCAGAAAGATTTTTAGACGATGAAGGAAATTATAAAAAAACTGACGGATGGATGCCTGTATTTGGTTTTGGTAAGTTATGGAAAATTTTATTTTAAATAATAAATAAATCTTTAAAATTGTTTTTTTTAATGTCAATGTACAATTTTCTTCGGCAGGGCAAAGGTCGTGTCCGGGTGAAATCCAAGCGAAAAATATTATTTTTTTATTTTTCGTTTCTCTGATAGAAAAATTTAAATTTAGTATTCCAGAAGGACATCCACGTCCGAAAACTTTGTGTTTGGGAGGATTTACTAATGCACCTCAACCGTTTGAAGTAAAAATTGAACCCAGATATTAAATATTTTCTAATCCCTATTAAATCCACCATATTTTTAAAAAGAATTGTTAAAAATAATTATTTGAAGTATACGTAGCTCCATCAGTTGAAATTCTCAAATCAGTTTTTTTCTTCTCCTTTCTGAAAAAAAAAAATTATTTTTAATTAATTATTTACTACAAATAAAAAAATTTTTTATATCATTACTTGCTTAATTATTTTTACTAACTAACCTCTGGATCCAACATTTTTTTTAATTCAGGTACAGTTTCAGACGTAGTTAAAGAAGATTTAGGTGGTAAATATTTTCTTATCACAGGAGATAAAAGCATGTGATCAATTGAAGTTAAATCACTGGGACCCGTAAGAAAACTAATGATGACACCGGTTATAAATGTTATTAGGGATCCAAAAACTGGATACCACAAATAACTTATTTTGTAAAGTGGGAATACATATCTAAAAAAAATTAAAATTCTTATTTTACATATCACATTTAAATTTTATTATTATTATTATTATATTTGAATAACATACTCTTCTTTTGATAGGGTAGTTCGATTGGCGATTAATAATGTCGAATTATGTACGTAATTACATCCTTCAATAGACAAAGGTTTTCCGGGATATACCAAATTCCCACTTGCTAACGCATTTTGTCCTCCCATTACTACAATAGCAGAACAAATGATACCGACGATACCACCGTATAAGGCTCCCTTTTTGACAAAAATAAGAGAACTTTAATGAAAATATTATGGAAAAAGTAGGTACGTAAAAATATAATTAAAAACCTTTTCATTAGACCATGGGAAGAGGATTCCTAAACAAAATATTCCAAACAATGGACCCCCAGTCATTCCTCCCAGGCTCATCGACAGCTGTGAATTTTTCACAATCGTTAATATTGCGATTAAACAATATTAAACAAAATTATTATTATTTTTTTTTAATTTTAATCCTACCTGAAGTACAGTACCTAATTTTTCAACGATAAATACTAATCCAACAGAAATAATTCCAAAAATTAAAACAGCTGCTTTTATTATATACTCTGTTGCTTTATTCGACAGCTTTTCTGACATTGTTGGTTTGATAAAGTCTTCAAGTACAATTGCAGAAATGGAATTCAAACCAGTCGATAAAGAACTTAAACCAATCGATTAAATTAAAAATCTATTTTAAATAATTTAAAATTACAAAAAAAAATACCTTAAAGCTGCACTAAAAATCCCAGCAACAAATAAACCTGGCATTCCAGGAAATTCTCCTAAAACTCTTGCAACTAACAATGGTAGTAGTTGATCTTTTGCTTTTGCCAGTTTAGTAGTTAAAGGATCGCAATCGTAATATGTCGAATAAACTACAAAACCGGCATATCCCGTTAAAATAATTATAAAAACCGTTCCCACGGTAAACATGGCCAAAGCTCTAAAAAAAAATCAGGTTTTAATTTTTATAGGTATGGCAAAGTATTTTGAAAAAACAACAACAACAATACCTTCGAGCATGTGTCATATCGGGCAAAGCCAAATATCTCTGTATCATATTTTGATTAATAATGGCTGCTTGTAACCAAAATACGGTACCACCGATACTCAAACTCCAAAAGGTATGACGATCGACAAAATCTAATTGAAAACTGAAGAATAATAATAATAAGAAGAAGAAGAAAAATTTTAAAAAAAATTATGGTTTTTGTGAACATACCTGGGATACTCGATTCGACCACTTTCCCAAGCTCTGTGCCAAACTGTTTGAAAACCTCCAGCATCTAACGAACCTTTTATAACGACTAATATAACAGCACCTACCATTATAAAAGATTGTATGACATCTGTCCAAACGACAGCTTTTAAACCTCCCTTTTGAAAAAAAAAAAAAAAAAAAAAAGACATTTTAAGAAAATTACTTAAACCTTAAAACCTTAAATATGGATATGGATACTAACCACAGCCGTATAAAAAATACAAACAATGCAAACGCATGGCGTTATTATATGAATATTTAATCCAGTAACTAAACAAAGATGGCGATATCAAATTTAAATTTTTATTAAATTAATAACTTATTTGTAAAATTTATTTTACCTTGATTAAAAGCTAAAGCAGGTACATAAATAACAATAGGTAACCAACAAAGCTACAAAAAAAATTTTTTATTTATAATTTTAACTGTTTTTTCGGGGAGAAAAAGAAAGAGAGAGAGAGAGAGAGAGATTGTTTACCAATCCAATAGTAAATAAAACAGATCCAAAATATCTTAACTTTCTATCGAATCTTCTTTCTAAATACTGTAAAAAAAATTATTATTATTATTATTTATTAGTTTTAATAAATAATAATAAAAAGGAAAAAACTTACCTCGTACGTTGATGCTAATTTCATATCATGGAAAACCGGTAAAAATACATAACTCGCTGGAAAGGAAACAATCATTAGTACGAAAATGGTAAAAAAATAAGCCGTTCCATAAAGATAAGCCTCCGTAGGATTTCCCAATAATGTTATCCCTGAAATAAAACTTTTTAAAAATTATTTTTTTTTATTATTATTATCCCGTAGCGTGAAAAAAAAGGGGGGGTTAACGGGAAATGGATTGTACATACCTGGCGACGAGAGACATGGCAACTGGAAAAACTTTCATATTTCTACCCCCCATTAAAAGTTCAATTTCGGCATCCGCACTTTTATTTCCATGTAGGGCATAATATAAACCGATTCCAGCACACGAAATCAACATGAATACGAAAACGACATAATCGAATGTTCCAAATCCTTGTAGTGATTGTATCAATTCGTTTACTTGTAAAATTGTTTCGTTCATTTTTAACTAAAAAATTTAATATTTCGGTAAAAAAAGAGAGAGGGGGGAGGGGAGGGGAATTTTCCACTTCATTATAAATAATTATTTAAATAATAAAAGTTAATAAAAATGTGTTTAAATATATACATATAAAACAGTGCGTATGTGACAAAAAACTGTCATTATTGTATTAACTTTAATTTTATCCATTTGTTAATCGTATATAATGATAATAATAATACTTGATATCATTACGAATTATTTTTAAATTA